GTTTCACTAACGTCCGCTAAAAGTTATTCGTTAACCGACGAAAGTTGTTCGTTCACTAAATAGCGAACGAAGGCATACCGAATGTTCAACTTACCGAATAACTTTACTGATCAACTTTACCGAACAACGCGTTTCACTAACGCTTCGCTATGCTCTCGCTATTTAGCGAACAATTTTGCATCAGCTGGCGGCAACTACAAACACGTGGCGCAGTTGTTGATAGGTTACGCTCTGTATCATCTAATTTCTGTATCATTTTAGGCATCAAACGGTTGTGTTCTGTCTCTGAAAACTCTTTCCCTTCGTAAATGTCGTCTTTCATTATCTCGATTACAAGCTTGATACAATAAAAAGTTTGCCATGCTTGTCACTATACACTCCGCTGCGTGCAGTTGTGCTCACTGCTTGCAGTTGTGCAGTTGTGCTCACATACTATACGCTGCATGCAGTTGTGATGTCGGCAATAAGAGTTACTCGAAATAATTGCTAAATGTTTTAGGTAGGTGCGTGCTAATTGCTGTGTCGTATGGGTGCTATATTCTCGGAGCTTGCTACGTGCTAACGCGTGTGTCACATCTGTCAATGCCCAAGCTCTCCTCCAACAACCGGTTTGCAAACAGAGACTACACTTGCATGTAAATCTGTGGCATCGATAGCATGTAAAGACTCACAACACACATTACAATATATTATGAACTATCGGAAGATTAGAGTAAAACATATAACATTTTGATATTTTTAGCTCATCTGACATAGTCAGATGCAGCTTGTAGAATCGCATGAGAGTGCGTCCGTGCGTCCGTGCGTCAACAGTTGGGCACAAATCTAAACGGCTCTACGTACGGATTCAAAATTAGGGACGTGGGGGGTGTAATCCGAAAACGAGTTGGGATGTCGAAGCTGGGGGTCAAAGATCAAAGGTCAAGAGGTGTAAAAGAAGGGGGAACATTCCCTCCTTATAGGGAGGAAATGCAGAATTGCCGCACAAATTTAAACGGCTCGACCTAGGCTCGTGATAGTCGGTGTATAGCATCATGGTAGGAAAAGCGATCACTGTGCTGAAATTGGAGGTCACAGGTCAAAGGTCAATGGGGCACAGGGCTGATTTTATACATTTTCTGAGGACATGGTCTGACGGAGCGATTGAAAAACTTTTTTGTTTCAGCGGTGACTTACCATTTTTATGGCTTTATTGAAAGGACCATGAAATGTACTTTCCGCTGACATGTATGCGAAGAGTAAGTGTCGGATAAACTTTTGACCCTCAAGAGGAGGGTTAAACATGGATTTGTTGACTGTTAACAAAGGACAGAACTGCTTTTGCTATTGTGGATGTGAGGCTACAGTTGCACAGTTCAATTGCATCTGAGCCTTCACCTACAAGATTATTATACAATATTTAACATTGTATTATATCTACAGTTTGCACTTATATGTTATACGCACCTGCAGCTCATCGGCATGGCAGCCGCAGGATACCGCGGTGTATTAGGTGGATACCATGGACACAGTCACGATTTCGGTCGAGACGGAAACGACCATGGCTTAGCCGGACAACCATATGGCGGATTCGCAGCCCCGTTCGGCAAAAGACGTTGAAACAACATTGAAACAACGTCAGCCATCAAAGTTGGTGAATTAATTTTTGTGATAGTACATTAACACGTTGAAGAGACGTATTTTTGGTGGGTAAAAGCACAACATAATTTCAACCAATATATAACGTTGAAACAACGTCTGTTTTAACGATGAATAGACGTTGTACATTTCAACGTTGAATAGACGTTGTACATTTCAACGTTGAATAGACGTTGTACATTTCAACGTTGAATAGACGTTGTATATTTCAACGTTGAATAGACGTTGTATTTTTTGTGGGTAAAAGCGCAACATAATTTCAACAAATATATAACGTTGAAACAACGTCAGATTCAACGTTGAATAGACGTTGTATTTTTGGTAGGTAAAGGCGCAACATAATTTCAACCAATATATTACGTTGAAACAAATACGTCAGTTTCAACATTGAATATACGTTGTGCATTTCAACGTTGAATAAACGTTGTATTCTCGTTGATCGACGTCATGACGTAGTTTCAAACAAGATTCAACGTGGAAATGACGTCGTGTGCACTCCGGAGCTGTTTTTATTTTAATTTAATCGATGAGTGATTCATCATCGATCGCAAATCGATGAGCATTTCAATAATCCGGACATCGAGTGGCATATAGATGTATTTTACTGAATAAATTGAGTTTATTCCTGATTTGTAGTTATTCGTCTGTCTATTACGAAAATTCCTTGTCCAGTTCCGATCTAGTGTAATACACGAAATACTTCTATATTAAATTAAAAATCTTTTCTTCTAAAAATAATTCGCTTGCTTGCAACTGTTTTCAACTTTGGGTGGCTAATGTAAACATTCAAACAAAATGGAAACATGCAAAATCATGAACACGTAAACCCCATACAACAAAGCTCACGAAAAATATACATTCCAGGAAGCCAATATGTCTCCATGTCAAATTCAGCTAAGCGTTTGTGCATTATGTAAGAACGCGTCCCTACTCTATGTCAGAGCGCCACGGTTGAGGATTGGGAGGGTGATGTATGCTGCCGATGTGTGCTCATGTGCCGCTGGACAAGTTATTGTCACATCATTCCGGGATGCGTAGCGAACGGAATTGAACAGTGCAATGAATCAGTCAGTTGGTTGGAAGAAAAGTGAAATTATGACGTTACACTGTAATTTCTTTGATATATAAAATACTTAGAACTGGCATCTTGATGATGCTACGTAAGAACTTTAATTTATAACATGAAACATTATATACATCGGAAAGGCACGTTTAGATATATTATATGGACGACAATGAGGGCTACGCACGTGTAAATAACACGTAGCTACGTAATGCTAACGATACGTTTAGAGAAAAACTGACTACACCCAGTTCTGCTCTGAAGACTCGAGGCCCATTTGATTATTAAGGCTAAATGAAACACGCGTGCACTCTACGTGCACAGTTAACAGAGCATTCGATTTATTACATCATTCTGGGTAGGCATATGCGTGCATGGTTCTACCTTATGCTTTTCAGACATTCGCTTTCGTTTTCCTTTATGCTTCTGTTTTCCAGAATTACCGTTAGTCAGACGCAGAGTTTCCAGTTTCTGGCTACTGTTCCATACAATAATGCCTGCTTTAGTATTACTACCAGTGCTGGAATCGACAACAGGAAGATAAGCGATTTTTTCATTGGGTGTATTATTAGTAATAAGTTACGATAGGTCCACGCGTCAACTACTCAGCATTAACCCACTTAACCGCTGTACGGCATGCAGTAACACGTGACGCGCCGCCGCGCATGCGCAACAATTGTGTCGATGGACACCGACGCGAGGCGCAACGATCGCCTATAGAGTGTTTTATCACATGTCATCACTAATCCCCCCCCCATATGTATCAAGAGCTCATAATAGAGAGCACTCTATTATGAGCTCTTGAAATTGCTACATAATTTGTGTTGCAATCCTGATACGGACGTGACTTTGACTTTGACATACCCATAACAAATTGTGATCAAATGTCAATAGTAACGTCCGAGCGTATTTATGTCAATATCTGAACATTCTCCACTTGAATGATCGATATTTATATGTTTAATGTCTGCATGCACAATAACATGGATATTGGACATGATATCATTTTCCATGCACATGTATTTAAAGATTTTGTTGAAATAAATAACGTCCGAACGTCACGGAATATTTTACAGACAGCCATATATTTGTCTCTATTTTCAACTTTCTCTAATGCATCTGACACAAATCCCTGATGTTACTTCCTGTGGAATGTTCCACTTTAACTGTGAGTAGGGGTGTTATGCCAACAGCATGTCTAAATTTGATTTTTTACATCAAAGTTATGGACGTTATATTTGACCGACATGCAGGCACTGATTTTTTATTTGATTTATTTGATGTGTAATCGCATTATTTGAGGAAAAAGAGTAATGGTCATGAAGATAAGACATTCAATGTATGTATTAATGATACTTCCAAGGTTATACTGTATTTATGTGGGTTTTAAATTTTAGTGCAAAATGTAAGTGTTTTTTTGACCGTGTCTACTAAATTTAAAAGAAGATAAAACATTAAAAAATTATATATTTTAAGGATTTCTTTGTTTCATCAAACAAATTTATCCCATTTCTAACCATAACTAAGACATTATAATGGAGGGGAATAATATTTAAATATTTATACATGTTAATTAGCATGTAAAAATGACACGTCACAAAATGTTCTGAGAAAACATTGACATTTTCACACTAAAACATGTATAAAATTTGTATCCCATGACAAATTCTGGTCAAAACTATTGTTTTTATCTCTACAGCTTAAAATTGAAACTCTACTATATTCATAATTTGTTATAAACAGATATATGGAAAAATATGTCCCAAAAAGTTACGGACGTTATTTATTACTGAATAGCTCAGAAGCACCCTTATGACAAACATGAACGCATAATTATCTAAATTTGTAGGTATATGCTATTATTTATGAATTTTCTATCATAATATACTCTCAAATTCTAGGGGAAAGTATCCCTTTAATTTTTAAATAGGGGGGTATGTGTAAGAAAGTCGGGATCAAGGATAGTTTGGGAATTGGGACCCCGGCAATTATATGTTTTTGCATTATGTGCTAAACTAATCTGGGGTGCCAAACTAGGCTTGATTGAATAATTTTATCCGATCTCTATGGTTCATGTAAAAATAAGCTTATCTCAGTTAGATCCATAATCAGTTATAATTACTTACAACGACGAAATTTTTGTCCATCTCTTCGATAGATTTCCTCAGGTCTGATCTGAGATAAACTTATTTTTATGTAAACTGGGCTTGGGCCGAAAGTCATTCCTTTGTTTGGTGTGTTACTGCTATTTTTATAGTAACGGTTTGTTGAACTAATTTTGTCGTTCCTTTAAATATAGGTCTGTTGTGGAGGCAAGCAGTCAAACAAAGACTAATAATAACCCGACACGTGATAAAAGCTACCAATCAATAAAGAAAAATAGTGTTGAGGTAAGGGTATACCATTACTTGGTTCTCCATAGGATTTTCGGTGGGCAGGTTGTTTGGAGATGGATGGTGAGGGCATGTGTCATATTTGGGCACATTATTGTCTACTAATGAACAGGAAAAGATTGAAAACAAACAGTAGCATGATCTTTAATATGGCTATAGAAGCATGTTGATGTTGAATAACTGATTAACTGATTAACTTGATTACTGATAACTTGATTAACTGATTAAGCAATTAAGGCATGGCGGAGGATTTATGAGGTGTTGCAAATAAGCTTCAGTTTCTAATGCATATCAGACCCAACATTTGTAAAAGGCCTGTGCAGAATTAATGCTGCATTATATTAATGATAATTGTAGTATATTTATAGTATACTAGCAGACTAATACCCGTACAACGACCAAATTGTGCCTTAAAATATAAACTTCATGTAAGTGACACAGTTGAAGTTAAATATTTCATGCAACTGAAAAGAAAACAGAAACAAAAAAACATTTTGGGAAGAAACAAAGAGCGAAATTCTATAAGTGAGCAGGGGAAAAAGTGCTCAGTTGGTGACCACTTGGCTGAAAGGAAAATACCGCAAAATCTATCTATCTATCTAGCCATCCCTCCATCCATCCATCCATCGCATGTCATGCCATGCCATGCCATGCCATCCCATCCCATCTCATCTCATCCTATCCCATGCCACCCCATACCACCCATGCCATGCCATCTCATCCCATCCCATCGTCTTCTATCCCATCCCATCCCATCCTATGCCATCTCATGGGATTCGATCCAATCCCATCGCAGTCGACCCCATCCCATCCATCCCATCCAATCCCAAACAATAAAAAATAATATAAATAATATAAAGAACATGAAAATAATAATAAATAATAATAGTAGTAAATAATAATAATAGTAAAAAAAAGAGTAATTTTTTCAATTTTTAACTTTTTTAAATTTTTTTAATGAATGTAGTACGCTGAAGTAGATACTAAAGAGTAAAAAAGTAAAGGAGAAATTTTTTCTCACCAGCTTAGATTCGAACCTGGAATCTCGGGTTATGAAACCATGCTCCTACCGACTATGCTACGACGGCGGGCAAGACACGCGAAATAATTCCCATGTACGTGATGATAGAATTTTGATTTTGACAATTTTTTTTTACTTTTTAACTTTTTTAAATTTTTGTCCCATGCCAGAACCATCTCCCAGACGTGGTGATTCTGATATATCTTCAGTTACCGCGATTGAGTGACAAATCACGGAGAACATCGAGATCAAACAAACACACACACACACACAAGATTAGCCAAATTATAGTATAGATATATATATATTGTCTGCTAGACGTGATGCGGCCATGATGGCGAGGCGCGCCGAGGATTGACACTTTGTGTCTTCCAATCACAGTCTACGCCGCACCTCTCTATTATAACTTCTAGGTATAATACCATTAGAGCACGGAATCGCCGATTTTCAGGAACTAGGGCATTCTGCTAGGCTAGAACGGTTTCCTTCGATAGAGTTTGGAACAAATACGAAAATAACACGCTGTTTAGCGCACTGCGCTAGGTCCTTCTGTTCCATTTTCGCATCTCCGTAAACAGAATAAGCCCCGCCTTCTTCGATGGGCATGAATGGGGCGTCACCGACGTGACCAGTTGCTGGTCTACTGTGTTTAGTTTTCGTAAATAATGAAATGCCTGGCCGATGCTAGACTGGTACCCGTTCGCCACCTTCACTCCGGCAAGTATCCTTCGCTACACTGACGCTGTTAGTGTAGCGTGTGGAACTGTCAACCGGGTACCAGTCTAGGCCGATGAATTTTGCAATGTTTACATGCCACAGCGCCATCTATTGGATGTTTTATAAGTAAATATGGGGATTTTCAATAAAATAATGCGTTTTTAATGTATTTACCACGATTTACGTATAGAAACTATATGTTATTTGTACTGATTTCTCCGTATCTTTTCTTGGAGTTTTCATCGTCTTTCAATGCCTTTCGGTAGATTTTTCGGCGTTTTCTGCGTGATTATTATTTTGCGCAGGCACTCATTTTGGAAATCCTCCAACATTTTTACTTCTTCCTTAAGTACATGTTTCACATTTAGGAAAGAAGGTAAAACTGTGCATTCGTATAATTTCACTCTTGCTTCTATAGTATGATTTCCATAATTTTGCTCTTCTGCCCATGATAATATTTCCCTCATCATGAACCTACATTTTTCAGTTCGGACTCTTAATTATCATATCATTATAACCTCCTATATCATTAATGAAATCCCCTAGGTATGAATATTTGGTGCATTTTTTGATTAGGCCAAAACAAAATATATGTGTGGTTACCGTTACATGCCGGAAAAAATAGGGTAGGTAGGTATAGGGGAAACATTTTATTTTCTTGAAATATTTTATTTACGAACCATGTCCGAAGGATGTGCGTTGTGCCTTTTGAAGCAGGAACTGGCCAATTCATTTTTTATTTTTTTTTTATTTTAAAGAAAATTGACAAAATGTTTAGGGTCGCTGGGAATAAATAGGGTCAGTCGGGAAACCGTAACCACACCTATATTTTGTTTTGGCCTTACTTGGTTGCCTATTAATTTGTTTTGTTCATATTAAATTCTAATCTTTTTGATTCAGCTAATCTTGAGCATGACTGAGCGATTTTTGTTACTGTTTAAAAATCTCCAATTCCTAGAATATCGTCCATATATAATCATTGTCATCTTCTAAAACTACAGACCATCTGCTGACCGCTGTGGAGACGCCGGGCCTCGAATTTGGCGCACGTCTCCACTGCGGACAGCGCTTCATACTTGAACATCTCTGCGGTCGCGTGCGCATATCCCGCGGAACTGCGCGTCTCATCCGCGCGCAGCGCTTAGGATCAACAGCAAAGCTGTTGTATCATATGTCTCTCTGGATGTCGCCACCAGTGTGCAGGATCTGATTCATGGCATTTGCTTGTGCTTTTGAAACTACAATCTGACTCCGTCGTACAATAAAATTGTATCAACTTGTTTCTTAATACACAGAAACGTATTACATGGTATTAGAAATGGGGTACGAAGATGAATACTCAAGTGCGTCATCAAATAACGGATGAAATTAGCGAAAATGGGAACAGGCACTGTTACAGGCCCATCCAAAATTTTAAACAGGGCCTTAGGCAAATTGAACAGGCCCTTACAAGTTTGAACAGGACCTTAATTTTGTTCAATTTATTCCATTATCAATAAAAGTATTAACTTTGTGTTTATTAGGCATACTCATACAGGGTTAGAAATTAGTTTCAAAATTTACAGGCCAGCCAGACCTGTAGGTAAGGGATTTTACAGGCCCGCCAGCCAAATTACAGGCCCTGGCTGGCGTGCCAGGGACGGTTTTGCATGCTGGGGTGGATTTTCTACGGGCCCGTCGGACTTGCTAGTATTAGAAATGTTTGCAAGATTACGATTTACAGCAATACGCTAGCAAATATATGTAAACGAATATCAGTACCATGAAGGTGAGTGATTAGTGGTCATAATAAGCTGAGGAACGTATACACTTGCTTCTTTATTGGTAGCAAATTTTGATGAGAAAAATCGGTTAAAAATGCGGGAATCGGTTGTCTCACTCTTGTGTTATTATCTACTCTTGATACTATTAGCACCCTGAGTAGCACCCTGTATTAGCACACATAATGAACCCTGAATGCTCGCGGGGGTAGGCAAAAACATGGGGGCAACCCATTACGCATGCATGGGGGTGAACTGGCACTATTCTAATCATAATTATTGCCTGGCAACCTGCAATGCAGATGTGTTAACTCTCAGCTGAATGAAATTCTTGCCTGCCTGAATATACTTGGATTTTAGCAACTCAATGGAGTGAGGTTATCACGCACGAAGGGTGATGCCATCTTTGATTATTGATGACACTTGCACGCACCATCTCGCAACAACTGCTTTTGCTATTAGAGCCCCTTCCACTCGCCTCCTCCCCCCACTCTCCCCCCACAACCACCACTACGCTCGCGCTCGACGCATATCCATGATAACATGTTAATATAGCGAAGTCATTAAAGTTACACAGCTGTATCTTTATTACTGTACTACCGGTATAGCAAAGCCTATATAGCTATCATAGATTTTAGATCTGTATTAGTGTACCAGTCTCTCTACTATAGTACAAGTGTTATGGGTTGTATCAGTGTTATAGACGATTCGTAAGGCATGTCGAGAGATGCCCGACTGTGTGTAGGCATGTGATCGTATAGGTCGTAATGTTATGAACCTTGCGTTGTGTATTCGTCTCCACCCGTTGTTTCTGTTCGTGCTTGCGTTTCCGCTTGAAGGAAATGTCAGACTTGCCTCTTGTGCGACGTAAGGCGAGTAGCGAATAACTTCACAGTAGAGATAACACGTATTTGTTGTAACAGACTTGATGGTTTTATTCTACTCAGCGAATCACTAAATACAGACTAGGTAATGTTTTACAACACATATATAAGTTCTTCTACTTCTTCACTATGTGTGTCTACGTGACTGACTAAGACTAACTGGCTAACTAAGTGGCTTCGACTGGCTAACTAACATGCGACTACTAAAGTTCTGCGTGTCGCGGGGCGCAGTGGGTTTTTATATCCATCGCGCGTGTGTGTCATGGTGGGGGGGGACGCGTATATGGTTTGGTGCGGGCGCGTATCTTCTGACCATAGTGTTGTGGCTATGGGCGTTTTAAATGTTATTTTCACCATTGTTCTTGATGAGTATTTGTTATATATATATATATACACTGTTACAATGCACCTTATAATACACTGATATATATACACTTTATAATACACTAACTGTCACTAGCACTAGCAGCTCACACAGCTAGAATAATACAACTAACTGTTAATGTTATAATACACTTGTAATACAGGTACAAACTGAGGATCTGTTTGATACCTATTCTAACCTACCAGAAACTGTTCCGTCAGGACTTCCAGAGTTTCTTGCACGCGTAGAGCCTCTTGTCACAAAGGAGTTAAGAAAGAACATAACAAGTCAAGCGTTTAATGGTGAGTACATCACATTAAGTGATTAACTGTAATCCCAGAAGTGGGAGCTACATTTTTATGATGGTGAAGTAATGGGTTATCTGGTTGAATATATATGTAGATTGATTAATTTAATAGATCTCAACTTGTGTTTAGGTTATGATGTCAGCTGGGCGGCAGTGCATAAAGCTGTCTCCTGTGTTCACACACTGCAAAATGTCGACTTCCAGAAAGAGGTATGATAAGTTATTGTTCATTAATTATGTGTTCTTCGATTTGTTATACAGGTTTGTGTTAGAATATACATATTGCTATGTAGATGGCATTTACACTATAGTGTACCTGATAGAGTATAGTCAATGTTATCGTGTTTGACACTTTTATGTAGTTGTTACTGACTGTTTCAGCAAATGGAGTGCACAGGGCTGTCTTGGAACTGTGTTGGGTCTGTGATTGCAGCAATGTATCTTTTAAAAAACAAGATTTAGAAGAATGTAAAATTGCTACAACTATTGTGTAGTGATATTTCACATTACGTAGTATATGCATTCCAGAAAAAAATATCCATAATATGAAAAGCTGTAGTGTGAATGAGGTTTTTCTATTGAGGTCCATTTATGATTATATAATTGGAGATGCGTTCCTACAGAAAACTTTTTGGCTGAAAAAATACTAGAAGCACAATTATGAATGCAAGTAAACATGGTCAAATTTAAATATTGAACATTTATTGATGTAATTCTGTAACTTATTAATTATAGAAAATAAAGAGAGTATAGAATAGGAATTACTATGAGGGAGAGGGAGCATTGGCCTGGCCTGTCTTTGTTATCACTATCATTTCTGGGTTTGTCTGCTACAGGCTCTGACCTAGAAGCTAAGATAAGCTGTTTGTACAGCTAGCTTCCTGTAGCAGCTAATGATGCCAACTCTAATAATATTTGATCTTGTTAGTTGTTTGTATTTAATAAACAGTTCATTAGCGAATTTACAGGTCTGTTGACTATCTCATGACGTCTACCAGTGTTAGTAATATGGATTTCCATCAGGATGTGTTTTTATTCACTCCTGATTTCATTTTGAAGCATATTTTACTTTCAAAGTTAGTAATGCTAGAGTGAGAAGTGTAAACCTAACATTGGATAGGGCTGTGTATAGCTAGCTTCACATAGACGTATCAGAAATCTTTGACAGCCATGTAACAGATATGGTCGACATGATCACGAAGACTGGTGTACTCACAAGGGGGCATTCTGCATGTGGAACATTGACCGGCCACATCTAAATCCAGGCAAGCCGGATTTTGTTATGGAGACACCCGCTTGTATGACAAGTATTGCCTTCCACCCAACTGAACCAACACTGATAGCTGGTGGCTATTTCAATGGTATGCTTTATTAGAATTTACATTAACAAGTGTCGCCATATATATGTTGTATATTCTTAAAACCTTAGCCTTAGCTTAGCTTTTAAGCTTAAAAAGCTATAAAAAAAAACCTTATTTTAAAAAGTGATTACGTTACTGTAAATAGTAAAAGTAAAAAAATTATGTCCACTTTTTCACAAAATGTAAGTGATTCTGTTCACTTTTTATGGTTAAATTGCTGCATTATACTTCCTATTTTGCTATTCCGTTCGATGTGCACAAACATGCACTTGTGACTCATATACATGGCCCATTGCAAGCATTTAATGTCATGATCAATATATCAAATCGCCCAGGTTTTCTGGATTTTTAACTAGTTGAGAAACAATCTTATCAGGTAAGAATTTGAGGATACATATGTAATCCCGTTAGTACTTACTTTTAATGTAAAAAAATTGCAACCAATATTTTACAAATATACAATACATCATAGAAAGTATGTGACGTAGTCAATGTAACCTAGCTCAAGTCATTGGTGAATAAAATTTCCATTATTCACTCCCGATTAAGTATAAATATGGCTCGTAGGGTCTATGTCCCCCTGACCTCTGTTTGACCTCGCTCGTTTAGCTATTTCTGACTAACCCTAACCCTAACCCTAATCCTAACCCTAACCCTAACCCTATATATATTATATATTATATATATATATATATTAGTCAGAAATAGCTAAACGAGCGAGGTCAAACAGAGGTCAAGGGGACATAGACCTTATCTGCATAAATATGCAGCGCAGTGACATATTTGCAAACTACAGTGAAAGTTTAGTAAAGAATTTGAGCAGCATATTAGGAGATACATATGTATTATGTGAACACATAATTTGGCAGTGTTATTGTTATTTTATTCTGTGAAATAATCTTCTAAGGACGTGTGGAATTTCATGTGCATCCTTGCAGAAGAAGAAGAATCCTATAATACTGTTTGTTATGTGACAGTTTGTTAAAAATACAGCATTGAAATTCATGCAGAGCATGTCACGTGCCATTAGATAAAGACCAATATTGCCCAACGGGTTGGCTAAGAGAGTAGTATGTCAGATCTGGTAAAACGTATTGGTGATGTGACATGCCGAATTGTCACAGGGTTGTTTAGTTTATTAGTTTGTTAGTTAGTTGTGATTGTTTGGTGCTGCCCTCGAGTGGCGAAAGGAGAGAAAAGCTAGACGAGGGTAGTCACGAACAGATGGCAGCACTAGGCCACCATGCTGGATCAGATAGAGAGCAGAAGGAAGCATTCTGCTGCTTAGAAATTTCTATCGGTCAACATCTACGAGGTTATCGTGTGCCCCAGGGCACTTTATTGCCCGCGAAGTTGGCGTGGTCATTCCTATGGTGGCATAATCTAGTCCGATCATGTACTTTGCTCCTTAGGGGTTTTTGTTTGTTCACAAATAAACCGTCTACCCCGCACTTGATTGTTGGAGTCTTTTTCCGGACCTCACAAACGGTGCAGTCGACAGGATCCCACCACTGTAGATGATTCACCACCTGAAGGGGTCTTTGGTCTTTGGTCTGGCAGAAGAACTGGTCTCGGACTTGCATGGCAAGGGTACAGGTGGAAGCCTACAGGTTGCGGACAGTCAATGATAGATCCGACACATCTGACACTGAGGATGAAGGCCACTTCGTGGTTTGCCACCCACGGGAAGTCTCAGCTGGTTGCGATGCTGGATCAGATAGAGAGCAGAAGGAAGCATTCTGCTGCTTAGAAATTTTTATCGGTTAACATCTATGAGGTTATCGTGTGCCCCAGGGCAGTTTGTTGCCTGCGAAGTTTGCGTGGTCATTCCTACGGTGGCATGATCTAGCTCGATCATGTACTTGGCTTCCTAGGGGTTTTTGTTTGTTTACAAATAAACCGTCTACCCCGCACTTGATTGTTGGAGTTTTTTTCCGGACCTTACAAATGGCGTAGTCGACAGGATTTTCAAGTACGGCATCCATTGATCCAAGGAGATGAACAAACCCCTGAGGGAGAAGGAAGAAGCGATGAGACGTCAATAAGACGAACATAATCGGCATGGTTTTTTAGCTCATCTGACATAGTCAGGTGCAGCTTGTAGAATCGCATGATTGTCCGTGCGTTCGTCCGTCCGTCCGTCCGTGCGTCCGTCAACAGTTGGGTACAAATCTTAACCGCTCGACGTACGGTCACGATATTGGGGGCGTGGGGGGTAATCCAAAAACGAGTTGGGATGTCGAAGCTGGGGGTCAAAGGTCAATGCGTGCGTGCGTACGTGCGTGCGTGCTTGACACGCCGTCGCCTGCCTCAGTAACGTTTCTGTATCTGCTTCAATCGCTCGTTCTTCACGAGCGCCGACGTGTAATGCACGAAGCCGCACTCGTCTAGCCCGATCAGCTTGTTCTTGACGGCGGGACTCGCCGACGAGATGGTCGCGTCGGCCTTCAGCGTCAGATGCTGCTTGCTGTACCTGTCTCCGACGAGATCCTCGATCCAGTAGCCGTTCGTGAAGGCGGCTCGGGCTACGTGCAGGTTCCAGAGGAAGCTCTTCGCCTGCTCGTGAATGAATGTGAGCAGAGCGACGCCGGCGTTGCGCGCGTACGTCCACGTGCGCGGCTGTATGCGACAGCCGGGCGTCATGATGAGCACGGCGCCCTGTGCCGCCACCTGGCGGGCGACGCTGCACACGCGGTCGATCTGCTTCTCCTTGATCGTGCGACCCTCGTAGTAGCGGTGCGCCGACACGTAGATCGTCGCCGCCGCCAGGGGGCGCTCGTCTTCGTCGAGCTGCTCGATGCTCTGGCTGCGTCGGTTCGTGCCGTTGCGCGTTTTAGTGTTCGTTCGGCTGCCGCTCTTCGACGATTTGCTCGCCTCATCCGGGAACTTGAGCACGATGTCCATGCGGTGCGCGAACTTGTGGCGCCACCTGGCTTTCAGTTTGACACCGCCCAGGTAGCAGCGCACTTGGTGTGTCTCAGTTGTTTGCTCCTGGTTGGGTCGGTAAGCTTGGTCTAATACCTTGAGGAGCATATTCTCTACGCTGCGCTCCTAGAGGTATACATACAGAAACAAAATCATTATCAACGTAATTGAGTCAATAAATGAATGCCTGGCTAAAGATGCCAGCAAACACAAACGAACAATTAAACAAACAAAATATGGGCGTGGGGAGTGTGCGCGCGTAAGCACGCGCGTGTACGCGTGTGTGCATAACTGAACTATACCAAATTATACTAACTGAACTATAACAAATATATATTGTTATAGTTCACTGATTATACAATACTAAACTATAACAAATATATATTGTTATAGTTCACTGATTATACAATACTAAACTATAACAAATATATATTGTTATAGTTCACTGATTATACAATAATGAACTATAACAAATATATATTGTTATAGTTCAGTGGTGTGCATTCGTGAGTGCGTGCGTGCGTTTATGGATGTATATAATTGCGCCCACACACTCCTACTGCTCCCCGCTATCTCGATTTCTCCTTCTCTCACACACATACGTCCTCGTTTCCTCTTTTGCTTTTGCTGTCTTTTTCACTGTTTTCTCTTTCTCTCTCTTTCTTATTGCTTTATTCAACTTTACGAAGAAAAAATCAGCGAGGTCGGATATTTGTATGCACTGGAGTGCACGCAACACATCGGTAGTTGAAACCCCATCGCTATCTACCAGCTGCACAATAAACACCCTTTCTCTCAAGGAGCAAGAGCGTCTACTCGCACGCCCATTCTAATGATTCCTAGCTATCAAAACTTGCACTGTATAACTCTGTATAGAAATGTTCCCCCATGTACTCACGCGAAGAGCGTGCGAGTGTTCATGTGAACCCATCAGGAACTAACGTCACGACGTCTGTGCATTGCACATACCAGAAAAAACGTCGCGCCGATGAGCGACTGCCTTAGCAGTCTAGCTGTGTGGCAGGTATCGCGATTTTCCGTCTGTAATGCTCCGATGAGCAGGCGGTATGCTATTGTCATCGCCCGCGAAGAATGCATGCGGTATCTCTACAGATACAGTCCCGCTCTCTCGCCTCCCCTTCTCTCTCTATCTCTCATTTCCCCCCTCTCTCTCTCTCTCTCTCTCTCTCTCTCTCTCTCTCTCTCTCTCTCTCTCTCTCTCTGTCTCTCTCTCTCTCGTATTGAAACGCATCACAATTATAACCATACAGGTGAAGTTGTTGTGTGGAACCTCGGATTAGATGAGGATACACAGCTGGCTGCTTCAGATGAGAATTCACACCGAGAGCCTGTCACCCAGGTGCAGTGGATCATCGATCCGAAATCTCGCGTTATTGCAAAGTATCATGTAAGTACCACCTAATGAAAGATAAAAACAGATAAAGTAACCCTGCCGGTGGTGACTGCAATGGTCACAATCCTGCCAGTGATAACCCTGGCAGTGGTGACTGCAGAATGTCTTATTTTATAACTCTTGAAACCGTGTATGCAATGCTTAGTACTGATTCTTTGACGACCACGCCAGAAATATACATACATACAGGCCCGTAGCCAGGGGGAGGGGGGTGATTCGGGGGTTCGCACAACCCCCCCCCCCGAGCAAAAAAAATTAATTAATTAGTAATTCCTTAGGTATTGGATAATCCAGTCCTCCTTTCATGCACTTCATTCTTACCCAGGTGATTTTTGCTTTCAAACTTTTGCCTAGAGTAGTAATAGTATCCAGAGTATGCCTACTTCACTTGGTTACATTTCTTTACAGAATAATTTAATGAATGTTGTGATTCCGTAATTTGAAACTGCTTGTCTTGAATTCAGATGACATCTTGGACAATATTCTGATAGCAGAGACACATTACAATCCAAGCTAATGTTACATTTTGCCGTCATTGTTTGTTTTTTATTTGATCTGAAAGTATTTGTACAATATTGGGACCGTGAGTTGTAAAAAGAGCTGTTATGAGGTACTCGATGTGACATACAAGTTGCGTCAATATTATTTGTGACTGTAGTTGGTATCTTGCCTTTTTCATGGAGTACCATAAATGAAGAGAACAAGGAATTTATTGATCTATTATATTGAAAGAATTGCCGAGTATATATTTTTTTGTTACCATATTTTTTGTTGTAAAGTAAACTCTGATGACATGATTTGTGAAACACACACTTATATCAATTATATATCTATTTCATACTTCAAAGTTTTTACCAGTTGGCAATCTGAATGTTACATCTATAACTAGAGCACTCGGAGAGCACAGACCTCCGCCAAGGCAGCTGAATTCTCTCAATGTGAAATTTTTAATTAATTAATTAATTAAGTGGAAAAATTAATTAATTAATTAAA